GGGGGGGGGTTGCTTGACAGAGAAAACATCAAAAGATTTTTTTCTGATTTAATCCCTGAACCTAAAACATTCTGCGAGTGCCTCTCTCGCAACGTCTGATGACAAGGAAGAGGACGAGGATGGTCCACTCGAGCAGCTTGGACATTCCAATCAGTCCACATGATGGCTGGGAACATTTGTACATAGTAAACTTTATATATAGTGGAATATACTTATTACACAATGTTTCTAGAGATTTTTGCCTTCTTTATTATAAAGGTTGTGGACAACCAGATTTTGTCAAGAGGTTGACAAGTTGACAACCTGGAAAATGTCCTTATGTCTACCCCTCCTTTGTGATCCCATAATAATGATTGAAACATTTGATTCAGTTCCTTGTTTAATGATGTAAACACCCAATGAGCGTTTCTCTCACACCTTGAATCTCGGCTGTTTCTCAGGCTCCGTTCGGCATGCAGGCAGAGTACGCACATCCTGCTGAGACCATCATCCTCGGCGCGGGCTTCTTCATTGGGATCATGACCTTCTGTAACCACATGTTCTTCCTTTGGGCCTGGGTGGCTTTCCGTCTGCTGGAGACCATTGATGTCCACAGGTGGGACACATCACAGCCTTTCAGTGTTCTTTAAATCCAAACCACAAGTTTGACTTTTTGCAGCACGGTGGCGCAACTGGTAGAGCTGCCGCCTCTCAGCGAGCAGGTCCTTGGTTCAAACCCCGGTCCAGGGGCCTTTCTGGGTGGAGTTTGCATGTTCTCTCCGTGCATGCGTGGGTTTTCTCCGGGTGCTCCGGTTTCCTCCCACAGACCAAAACATGCATGTTAGGCTGATTGATAACTCTAAATTGTCCTTAGGTGTGAGTGAGAGAGTGAATGTTTGTTTGTCTCGTTTGTCTCTATGTGTCCCTGTGATGGACTTGCGACCCGTCCAGGGTGTCCCCCGCCCCTCGCACAGTGATTGCTGGACATGGGCACCAGTGACCCCCGTGACCCAAAATGGAATAAGCGGGTAAAGAAAATGGATGGATGGATGAAGTTTGACTTTTTAATTTGTAAGATCGACCACCAGGTGGCGACAGAGAGTTATTTTATATGTCTTCCTTGAAGGTCACATGTTTAAATCATTCATGTTGATATTTTTGGAACTAGTATTGACAAGGAATATATAAATAATAAGCTCTATTCAGTTTAAAAACATGTCCCAATCATAAATACATTATTACTATATTAATAAAATGTATTTGGAAAGCTCCTTTCAAGTTAAGATAAATCTAGAAAACACAAACGGGAAGAAAATAAACTACTAAACTACAAAAAAGTCACATCAAAGAAAATATAAAACATGTTCTGAACATAACAGACGACAGGAAGAACTCAGAGAACACCTGGTTTATCCATCCATTATCTTTACCCACTTATTCCTTTTATGATTGAGGGGGTCACTGGTGCCCATGTCCAGTCATCACTGTGCAAGAGGCGGGGGACACCCTGGACAGGCCTCCAGTCCATCATAGGGACACATAGAGACAAACGAGACAATCATTCACTCTCACTCACCTAGGGACAATTTAGAGTTACCAATCAGACTAACATGCATGTTTTTGGTCTGTGGGAGGAAACCAGAGAAAACCCACGCATGCACGGAGAGAACATGGAAACTCCACCCAGAAAGGTCCCTGGCTGGGATTTGAACCAGCAATCTTCTTGCTGAGAGGCAACAGCTCTACCCTTCCTTGGTTTATTTGCTCATTTTGTTTTGTTTTTGGATGGAAACAGACAAAACAGGCCAGAAGAACAAAATATAACACAAAAATCATCTTGACATTTTAAATACATCTTTTTGCTTCATGTGCTTGTTGCTTTTTAAATTAACATTTAAAACTATTTTTCAAGAAAGAATTCATTAAATGATGCGTTTATATTTTTGGATACAAGAATTTTAGGATTCTGCAACTTGTCTGTCAAGTTTTTAAAATTCTATAAGCTTGAAAAAAATGAATAAAACATTATTTTATTTATTTGTTTTGTTTTATTTCATCCTGATATGACACTGCAGACTTTGCCTGCAATTTATGAAATGAAATGATTTTTCGTTTGTGTTTAGTTGATCAAATTTAACAGTTTAAATAAAAATATACAAGTCAAGTCAGGTAGTAGGTGTTTTAAATTCAATTTAGAACAATTTGAACATCTGCAAACCTTACAGTAGTTTAATTGTAGCTGAAAACAATACACTGCTTGTTTGGGAAGAAAAATACTTTTTGGTGTTGGATTTAGGAAGAATAATAAATAGTCACCAACAATAAATGTTTTGTAACTGCGTTTCATACTAGAATTAACCACAGCCATCGTTTCTGCAGAGTCATGTCCTCTTCCTGTCTAATAAGTGTGGCTGCTCTCTGCCAGCGCTCTTGGCCACGCCCACTTCTCCGCTGCAGGGCAGAGATATGACACGCTGCAGGAGGAAGCTTCTCCTGCAGTGTGGGCTGCACACAGGTGCTAAATAATTTAAAATAATTTATTTTAAATAATTGCCGATCGTGCGGCTCATCCATCAATCAGCCAGTTGTGTGTTAAGTACAATCTTATTTTGAAAAACTGCGAATAATGAACCACGGAATAGCGAGGGACTGCTGTACTTTACAATAAAACACGTGCTGCATTCAGGGTTTTATTCCTAGTTTCTCCAAATAAAATTATAATTTCTTTGTTCAAGAATGCAACTTACCTCTGTCTCTCTTCTCGTTTCCCTGTTAGCGGTTACGACATCCCTTTGAACCCCCTCCACTTGATCCCTTTCTACGCTGGTGCCCGTTTCCATGATTTCCACCACATGAACTTTGTTGGAAACTACGCCTCCACCTTCACCTGGTGGGACAAACTTTTGAACACTGACAGCCAGTACAACAAGCACACGCAGAAACAAGGAGAGAAGAAGGAGCAATAAACCTGCCCAGACACTCGTAGGTTTAAATGACTTTGAAAGTGAACCAGATTCACATCTGGTTCTGAAAGAAACTGCAGGTTGACTTTAATTTCATCTCTGTGCCTTATTAAAATGGTCTTTTCTCAGCTACTGGGTGAATAAAAAGCATCATCGTTCTCTTTTTTGTGCTTTGCTTGTCAGTAAATGAAGGAAAAACCATGCACGCCATCACTTTTGTTGTGAAATGCTCGTTAACCTCTGAATGTTTCAGCACTTTAGCACTTCCTCTTGAGTTGGTCTGAATCTGAACGTCTGCACTGAACTAAAAGTGTCGACTTTAAACAGTCACTGTGTTTATTGTGTGAATGTTTATGAAGCATTCACACTATTGAGATCCATTTATCTTCTGTACGTTTTTCTGCTTCGTTCTCGTTCCACAACTTTTGTGCTATTCCAACAAATCATATATCAAAACGTTCAGCTCTTTCTGGACATTCCAGCTATGAGTTTTGGTATTGGTGCAACTTTAGCTTTTTGAAATATTTAGCCTTTTCTGCCATTTATTTTTCATCGGAAATGAATTGAGTGCATTTTACATCATTCACATCTTTAGATCTGTTTACAACCTTTTCCTTTCACATTTTGTTCTGCTTCAGCTACTTTCAGCTTCCTTGTGCAAATGTAAACATTTTTAAGATACTTTCAGCTAATTTCATCTGTTTAGATTATTTCTAACAACTACAACATTTTTGTGCTTCTAACTTCTTTCAGCTAATTTCAGCTTGTTATGCTCCTTTCAGCTCATTTATGCAAGTTTCAGCCGTTTCTGCTATTTCAGCTACTATTTAGCTGTTTTTATGCTAATTTTTGCTTTGTTGGCTAATTCCACATTTTTTGCACTCATCTCAACTTTTTTAGCCCAATTCAGCAAAAATATGTTCTCTCCACTTCCTTCTGGTAATTTAAGCTTCTGTCTGCATTTTCAGCTACTTTTCAGTAATTTTTTTTGTGCTAATTTCAGCCTTTTTTTTTTTTTTAGCTAATTTCCAATCTTTTTTTTTTTGTTTGTTTCTAATTTCTGCTTATTTAAACTAAATTCAGCAAATATGTGTTCTTTCTACGCTCTTCTGCTAACACGAGCTTGTTCTTCCTTTTCTGCTACATTTCATCATGTTTTTAACTAATTTCAGCTGTTTTTCAGCAAGTTCTTCTGCAATAAGCATTCACACTGCATTTTCACAGGAAATGCAAATTATGTCTGAAAAGATTTGCTATTTGGCTTTTCCAGGTTCAACTCTTAATTTTTATAGTTATTTAAATGATCAGATGCTGTTCAGTTCTCTATTATAAAAAATAAAAAGTATCAAATCTTCACATCAATGTCTGTTTAGTTCAGTTTCACAGCATTTAGTCAGACTTGACTAATGTCTCTCCATTCATTGACAGCTCTACATTATTTAGTAAAGAGTGAGCACTGACAGTGAAGTTGTGTTAAAAGTGTTGCATTTTATTGGCATGTGCTCACAGAAAAGTGTGAAATGAGAGGTTTGCTGCACTGAGGGCACACCCCTACAGTTTCATCCAGCTCACTCAGTCCAGTCAAGTTAATGGTTCACACCAAACCGGAAGTGAGGCAGGATTTTCACAACAAGCGTAAAACCTGATTTAAGTCAAGAATTTGTGTTTTTAATTGGTGTAAATTAAAAGTGCAGTTTCAAAATATATTGTTACGTCTCATAGAAATAATATAAAAGTGCCATATTTTTTCCTTCCAAGTGCTACATTTTTATTGTTATTTAGATTATTTTATCCTTCCAGCAGTCTTCCTGTGCATCAACCACTGTGAAATAAAAATAAGTATGTACAACAAATAAATGAGGTGTTTTATTCCATCTTCTTGGGGATTTTAATCCGACTACATGACTGGTGTCTTTTTTGTGGGGTTAACTAAACAGCAATGTTCAAAACATTACACAAGGAAAAGCCTGATAAGATTAATTATAATTAACTAACTGGGTACTAAATATCATTTGGATTGTTTATGCGAGTGTGAGCATGTGTTAAATTTTGTATAAACTTCTACTAAGCATATATAAAATAAATGCATTTATACACATATTTATACAAACGTGTAAAAAATTGTAAATCTTTAGAATGAGAAAATTGGAGTAGGATTAAGTTACTTCTTCCCATTTCCTTTTGGACAGCAGGTTATTATTATTAGAATGTTGTTTACTTTAAGTGTGTCATTGATTTAATTGCTACAAATAAATGTATGTTTCCTTTTGTTTTATATCTTAACAATTCAAACTAATCTAACAAGGTTAAGTCAGTTCCTCTGGACAGATTCTTCTTTGTTGAAACGTTTCGTCTTTCATCCAAAGGACTTCTTCAGTCTGAAGAGCTGCAACAAAGTCAGTCTTATAAATAGCACCTTCTCATGGTGGATCAACCAGTTTGCTGCTGACAGCCAGAACTAGCTATTCATACATAAAAGGAGGACCATCAGCCCAACAATTGATCGTTAGGGCCCTGATAGCTGCTTAGTTAGTTAGTTAGTGCTCCACCAGGGCCCTAATGACTAATTGTTAGGCTGATGGTCCTCCCTTTACATGTGAATATCTAGTTCTGGCTGTCAGCAGCAAACTGGTAGATCTACCATGACAAGGTGCTATTTATAACACTGAGTTTGTTGCAGCTCCTCAGACTGAAGAAGTCCTTTGGATAAAAGATGAAATGTTCCAACAAAGAAGAATCCGTCCAGACTCAACCTTGTTAGATTTTTCTATCTGGATTCTTGAGGGCAATTCAAAATGAACTACATACATTAAATCAATTATTCACATTCTGGAAAAAATAAATTACACGTCGTTTCAAATATTGTTCCATAATTCTTCGCGTCACTGAAATATAATAATAAAAACATTTCTCCTAATCCAACAATAAAAGCCAGGCAGCTTTGCGCAGCTGATAGAAAACAACTTTATTTTGGAACACCATCCGGAAGTGGTCTTCTCTAACTTTACGCACAGAAGCTCGCGCTCGGCTCAGGTACAGCAGCGCATCACGCACACGCTGAGAGATATTTATAGCAGCTCCCAGGGAAGCTGCAGCGCGCGCGCAGATAAGGCTCGAGGCAACAAGCTTGAAGGCGGACAAGAAGAAGCGCAATGAAACCGTTCTCCTCCATGTTGGTGTTCGGGGCCGCGGTGCTCGCGCTGAGCAGCGCCGCGGCGCCCGGGACGGACGCGGGGATCTCCTTCGAGTACCATCGCTACGAGGAGCTGCGGAAGGCGCTGGTGTCCGTGTGGCTGCAGTGTCCCACCATCACGCGCATCTACACCATCGGCGAGAGCTTCGAGGGCCGAGAGCTGCTCGTGCTGGAGATGTCGGACAACCCGGGAACGCACGAACCTGGTCAGTTTTTACGCAGGGGATGCCCATCACCGCACAAGCAAACACAGCACGCACTTCTGCGCACAGAGCAGCTCATTATTGGAAATTACCCGTCTGTATATTTACATATAGGCTATATTAAATAATAATAATAATAATAAAACAACAGAAAATGAGCGCAGGTGCTGTTTAAGGTGGGGGCTGCTGCATCACTTCACAGGAATCTGATGATAGATGGTGGTATCAACGCAAAGCCGCCATTTTGCTGCCTGATAAGGATCTATTGAAGCTTATAAGTCGTGACTCGAGAGAAAAAACACGTCAGATAACCTCCTTGGTGGAGGTGACGATGCAGATGCTGTTCAGTGTTGGAACAGCGCAGTGAAGGTGTTTCAGAACCATCGTCTCCATCACACCAGCTCCAAGAGGCCTTGATTCAAGTCCCGTGCAGGCAAGAGTCAAAAAGTGGGAACGTTATATATATATTTTTTTTTCTTCCCAAAAACGTTGCACAATTTAAGAGAAAGCTTATGACTAACCACTGCAGAAAACTATAAAATATTTTAACAGAAAGTCACCCAGTGGAAATATTTTCCACACAACTAAATGAAAACAGTTTAGGCCAGAGCTTCAGGCGACTCTGTTCTGGAATGTTCTGCTTGGATTTTATTTCATGTAGAAAGGCTTTTCTTTTATTGCCTCATTTTATAGGGATGTGACGGCTCCCCCCCTAACGCTGGACTTTAAATGTCTGTTTAATAAACCAAACAAAATGGACTCCTTTTACCATTTTAACCCTTAAAGCGCTTAGAGCTAAAAAAAAAAAAAAAAAATTAAAATGGGTCTCTATTACAAACAGTATCTTACCTGTAGTAGATAGATTTTTGAATTGGAGGAACAGCGTTTATTTCTGAGTGAAAAGACGTTCTAACACAGTCTGAGCAAAGCCGGGCCCAAAGTGGATTGTTGCCAAACTAAAGCAACTTTATATTCTCTATATTTAGCGGTAATGCAAACATTTCCTAAACTTTTTGCTATGTCAATAATTTCTCACCACATGGGTATTTATAGATGTTTTTGGTTATTTGTAAGTGTGCCAAAAGTCTGTACTGCTTGTGGCACCTCCAGCAACTTGAGCCATTCAAGGATTCAAGTTTCTTTATTGTCATTCACATCAGTTACATCCAACAAATCATCACATTACATTATCATGACATCGTTACATCCAACAAAAGTATAAATTGTAAAAGAAACAGTACTAAGGATCTAAGATATAAAAGATATACGCTAAACCAACGCCCAGTGGTACGCTAACTTTTGATGTCTGGAATAGTTTTTACGCAATTGCAGTTGAGGTTTGAGGATTTTTGAAGATTTTCCACAGATGGTTCAGCTCAGTGACAAACTCTTCATACTTTCCATTTCTTGTAGAGTTGATCAAAACAGGTTTCTTGTCTTCTTCCACTTAGTGCAGGGGTGCCCAGACTTTTTCAGCATGGAGCTCCTTTTAAAATGACCAAGTCAAAGTGATGCACCTGCTATAAGGCCCCGTTTACACGAGAACAACCTCTGGAAACGCTAAAAGATCTAAAATATACTATAGTCAGTAACAGTGCAAAACAATACACCGAACAGCAGAACGATTAATGTAAGCGGACTCGGACTCGGAGCCAGTATAGGTAAAGTTTTAAAAAGTTTAGTCCTTTTGTATGTGATCTTCTGTTAAATAGTCATCAATCGTTATCAGCGTGACTTAGTTAAAAAGCATCAATTATGAAAGAAATTCAAATTCCAAAAATAACAATACTCCTTCAGTCTACGTAGGTCAGGGGTCTGCAACCTTCGGCTCTGGGGCCACATGTGGCTCTTTGGTCCTTATGGTCTGCGGCTCCTTGAAGCTTTGACCAAACATCATGCAAAATGTAAATTTGTTGGTTTTTATACCCACAGTAAAGAGAAATGACAAGTTTTAGGAGTTTTTCTGCAGACATTTAAAATAAATGCTTAAAACAAGAAGGAAAATAATGTTGATTAGCTTTAGCTACTTCATTTATCCAACTTCCAGCCTTATAGGAACTTTCTTTTAAATCCATCAGAAATTCTTTGAAGAAATATGGTGATAGATAGATAGATAGATAGATAGATAGATAGATAGATAGATAGATAGATAGATAGATAGATAGATAGATAGATAGATAGATAGATAGATAGATAGAAAGAAAGAAAGATCTAATTAAAGTTAAAGTAAATACAAATTTGTTTTTAAATTCTAATTTTAATGTCCATTACAATCCAACAAATGCCCTAATATTTAGACACACTTTAAATTTATGCTTTATTGCTTTAAAGTGGGCTTCATAATTATTTTTATTTTTCTAAAATGCAAAGGAAGACACATAAACCTGCAGGGTTAAATTAATATTGGTAAAATTGGTATAAAATATCTTTGTTCCCTTTGTTTACATGAATGTGGTCTTTTCTTCATATTTTATGTAAAAGTATAAATACATGTTAAAATTCATTATATAATTTTCTTTTTATAACGTCACCCCCACTGGCTGAAAAAACAACAACAACTTTCATGCAAATTTGAAGTTGCCCATGAGCCACCAGTTGATAATGACCGTTGTAGAAGGTTTTGCAGCTCTAGACACATTTTGTTTAGTAAGTGAAGGGTACAAACGGCTCTTTAGATTTAAAAGGTTGCAGACCCCCGGTCTAGGTTAATGGCTAGCCAAACAAGAGTCCATTTGAAATCATTTTTCATTCTAATAAAACAACTGTCAAAAGTTGCATACGGTGGGAAAGAACATTAGCTAATTTGTAGCCTCACCACTGTTGCACGACACCGTTTGTTTAGTTCGTCACTGCTTTCTCATCAGAACAGTGTCGATGTTGCAGTATAAATGTGTGCTGAGCATAGATTATGTACATGTCCTGACGCTGCTGAATATATTAGTTTTTGGGGAGCTGAGTAAACCTTTTATGCAGATCAGGTGGATTGATACAGTATATTCAACAGCTAATTGTTTTTAACCATTCCCAACAATCTTTTTTAAATGTCCTTTTACCTGAAAACATTTCCACTCTTAGTATGAAAACTGTGAAGGCATATGGAAGTAAAGCATTTTTAATGGATGAGCCTGCCGTACTTTTATCTTACGATAAATGTTTGGGAGTGGTTCACCAATTGAAATTCTTCAACTGGACAAACAGGAAGTATTTATTCATTCTCTGTGAGGCTGATGCCCGACCTCGACATTTGAAGTGGCCCGTGAGCCACAAGTGAGTTCCTGTAGTGAATTTTGATCAATTTTGACCATACATGCGCAATGTTTTTTTACACGAAGGAGTATTTTCTTATCTGGGTGTGTTTGTGTGGTCAGAACGGTGCACCGCAGGATTTCTGTGGAGCTCGGCTCACATGGCCACTCACACTAATGATTGTGCACTAAATATGTCTGTAATAGTGCTTGGGCGTGCACAGCCATGAGTCACGGTAGCAATGTGGAGCTCCTTATTACATCCAGATGAGTTTCCAAGCCACTTTTTCGCAGCATCTCCTCTCCTGCTCTGCTGAGCAAAACATCTGCTGAGAAGAGAGTGGATGAGACAGGGAAGGAAGGGGACAAGCTGGGGAGACTGATGGGACAGAAGACACAGGATAACAACAGATGTTTATTTAATTCCAAGAATAAAACATCCATTATCTTCTGCTTGTTCTGAAGTCGGGTCAAGCAGCAGCTTGAGCAGGGAGGCCCAGACATCTCTTTCCACAGCCACCTCTTCCAGCTCTTCTGGGGGGGACCCCAAGGCGTTCCCAGACCAACCAAGAGACATAGTCTCTCCAGGATGTCCTGGGTCTTCCCCGGGGTCTCCTCCCAGTCGGACATGCCCGAAGCACCTCCCTAAGGAGGCGCCCAGGGAGCATCTTTACCAGATGCCCGAACCACCTCAACTGGTTCCTCTCAAGTATAAAACATTTAATCTCCCTTTGAGGTGTCTCTCAGATGTTTAGTCTGCACTGTGTTCAGTCGAGGGTGGAGCTAAAATAGTGGTTGCCAGGACAACAGATCGGCTTAGTGCCCTGAGCTGACTAGCTGCTCGCGGTTGGCTGGCCCATCTGTCGGTGCACAGCCATCTGTTGTACGCAGCAGCACAGAGATGGCCCACAGCCAAACGTGTAACAACAGCTTATTATTACTTCCTGTAACTGGCAGCTGATCGTGTAATTACCTGTGTTTGTGTGTGTCTGTGTTCTGTCTGTTAGCAAAATATCTCATGCTTTACTGGATTGATTTTCATGAGCTGTCATTATTAGAAGTCCATCTACAACTAGTCAACTTGATTGAAGACGGCTGCCACAGCTAAAAGACTTGAACACTAAAATGTTCACAACTCAGTCAAGTGTGCATAAATCAAGTTAAAAGTGGTGGTAGCTGAGAGTGATCCCCACCACCTACTGTGAGATTATCCATCCATCCATTATCTTTACCCGCTTATTCCATTTTGGGTCACGGGGGTCGCCGGAGCCCATGTCCAGCAATCACTGTGCGAGGGGCGGGGTACACCCTGGACAGGTCTTCAGTCCATCACAGGGCCACATAGAGACAAACAAGACAAACAACCATTCACTCTCTCACTCACACCTAGGGACAATTTAGAGTTACCAATCAGCCTAACATGCATGTTTTTGGTCTGTGGGAGGAAACCGAAGCACCCGGAGAAAACCCACGCATGCACGGAGAGAACATGCAAACTCCACCCAGAAAGGCCCCTGGACCGGGGTTTGAACCAGGGACCTGCTCGCTGAGAGGCAGCAGCTCTAACAGTTGCGCCACCGTGCTGCCTACTGTGAGATTAAATAGATTTAATTTATTAAAGTCATCTAGTCACCTCTTTAAAAATGCAAGTGACAAGTTAAAATCCCAGCAGTTGGTGAATATTGACTTGTTACTTCTAGAGTTTTAGGAAAAAAACAAAAAAAAACCCCAACAACTTTTGATTTAAATCAGCTAGAC